CTCTCTGTCCCTGCATCTCCCACCCCCTACCCCTCACAACCCCCACTCCGCATCCCCCAAATACACTTTGCTCATCCCTTATCCCCTATTTCCACATCCCCCACCCTACACACCCCATCCTGCTGCCTGGGTCCTGTGCACTGCAAGCTTCAGCTGCAAAGGAACCGACACAATCCCTTAGAGTGTTTTTTTTTTTTTTTTTTTAAATACACATGCAAATTCCTTCATCTCTTTCCCCCCAAAACGCCACAGGTGGCCAGCTGCTACCTGGAGACACTCCTCCAGTGCACCTGACTCCCACCGCCCCAGGGCTGCAGCTCCAGCCCGCCCAACCAGCAGAAAGGCACCCGCGACCCGCCCCACTCCTCAACCTGTGCGAGCAGCGTGGTGGATCTTCCTTCCAGGCAATCACTTCTCCATGGAGGTCCCCGATGATGCTCCCGCAGGAAATCTGGAACATTATCTTGGCAGAAAAATAAGGCAGTGGGGGAAGCTACCAGCGATCCTGCTGGTAGCAAGAGTCTAACATCAACGTACCCGGAGTCCAAGTGAAGACAACAAGGTCTATAAGAGCTGTCTGTGAGGACAAACAAAAGAGCCAGCCTGATATGAGCAGGGGCAGGACTGAAAAAACAGCGAGCCAAACAGGCAGACGCTCCCCAGGACACTTTCAGCGCATCCCTAGCGCACTCTTCTTGCGGAGCAGAGCTGGCAGCTTTAGTGCTCTGGCATTTCCCCAAGCAGAGGCCCACGCTGGCCCTGGGGCCAGGGCAGTCTGGGAGGGCAGATTTGAAAGCTACAGGTCCCAGGCTGCCTCCACGGAGCTGCTGTGCTCTCTACTGCGAAGGGCAGAACCACCCTTTTGATTAACGTCCATTCACTTTTGCTACAGCAACAGGCACACAGTTCTCACTCCTCCCCTCCAAGCGAATGCTTGAGTCACACCATGGATTCACGGGCAACTGCCTTTTGTTTGTTAGGGTCTTCGTCCGGGAACGAAGGCAATTATCACATCCCAGCGCCTCTGCTCGTCGCAATAAATCTCTCACAGAAGAATGGACCTTTGAGGCAGCTGCTCCGGTCTGCTTAGTCACCACTGCCAGTTGGGAGAGGGCCTGGTGCACAGGGCACATAGCATCGGAGGCTGGCATAGCGTGTGGCACTGCTGCGAGAGGGCTCCAGGACTTGCTGCAGTTTTGCCAAATCTGGATCTATTTCCAGACAAGACAGAAAGAGCAAAGAGGAAGAGCCAAAGTTTAGACCAAGGATCTTCAGATGAAAAGTGTTTTTCAAACTTACAACTAGACTTAGGTTTCATATGGGGCTTGAACTAACACCACTCTGCAACGGAAAGAGCTACAGCTCCCCAGCAGACAGGAAACTATATTGCTTTTGCCCACACCTCAGATAGCAAAAGGTGGTTAATTCTAACAGCACTAAATGCAGTTTTCTGGTAGCAATAGATACGGCATCCAGGCCACAGACTCCAGCATCACCCCTCTCTGCTATAGACCTACAAACTATCCTTTGTGCACATGTGGCGGGGGGGGGGGGGGGGGGAAGAAAAGCTTCCTGTGCTAAACAAATGCTGCCCAAGTTTTTAACCTTACTGACACAAGTACTTTGGGTTTAAATTTGAACCGATTTCCATAATCACATACCAGACTTAAAATCAGACTTCATGTATGCTTTGGCTGGAATCAAGGAAGGCTTTGGCAAGAAAGCTTCCAAGGCATCTCTTTCCTCTCAGAGGAAAGGGGATAGCCAAGAAGGGGTGGCAAATAATTGGCATCTCATTGTCCTTTTGCCTAAAATCACACTTGGCCTGAAAAGGCCCCAGAGTGCAGGTTCCTGGGCTGCCAGGCAAGCCCAGAAAGCAGGGTCCAACATCTGACCTGCTGGAAGCTTCCTTGGGATTTCTCAGCTCCCCAAAGGATTTCCTGCAGCCACGTGAACACATAGGCACTGTGACCTGTTTGCCCCTTGCTATGGGGGCAGAGTCATTGCCACCAGTTCAAAGAACTTCCCATTGTACCTGCACTGACCCACACAAAGCAAATATTCAAGCCAGTAAGCTGTCTTCCTAAGGCAGTTGCTGTTCCTTAAGTCAGCCTTCGTTCCACCTATCTCAAAATAAATTAGAAATAACAGAGTTCTCAGAGTTGAGAGATGTCCATCCAGTGCAAGGAGACCTTGGCAAGAAGAAATATGACATTGGGAGAGTGAGATGGTGAGATCCCAAAGTACTTATAATGCCTGTAAATCTCTCTAATAAGCAGTTGAGGAAAGGGCAAATTGTGCTGTGCAGTTTGGGTGATGCTGTCACTCTGGGTTAGCTTATTTTTAAACAGGTTGCAGTTCTGTTTGCATGCAGTCAATTTAAAAAATCAGGTGCATTTCAGGAAGCACGCTCCTTACCAGCTAGTAAACACTCATCTGCCACCCTCAAGGCACATCTTTCACACAACCCTTGGAAGAGCTTCCCAGCACATGGGCTAGCAACACATTAATCTTTATAAATCAAATATTTGCCAAGTGGAGTAGAAAGCCATGTGTCTAAATAAGATTTATTGAGAAACGGAACAAAGCAATGTGCGGGTCAAAGATCACTAGGTCATGTTGCAAGCCTGTCCCTTGCAGAGTTATCCCTCAAAAGAACATTTCCCTAGCCCAGCTGTAGATGTTATCCTACTCCAGCATTTTGGGTTTTTTTAACCCACTTTTTACTGCATAAAACTGACCCTCTCTCTGACGCGGTTCCTCCTTACTGAATTTAACGTCTCCCAAACTTTGAATCAGATTAATTTCTGAGCAGAGATAGTGCTTGCCAAGCATTGGCTTAGGAGGCTTTTCAATGGCTGGTAGAAAAGATGCAGACTTCACAAACCCGTCAGTCGGTGGGAGGGAGATAAGGTATATTGCATGCCTGCCATATCTCAATTATTTTACTGTTTCACACGTCTGAAAACTTCATAATCTGCTGTTTAGTGCTGATGCCACATACTGATACCTATTCTACAGTTCAAAGATTCCTTGGTATTCTTATTTACGTGCACATGGATGTTTCTCTTCTTGTTTCTCGCTTCTACAAGCGATGCATGTGTCAGTGTCTGGAGGGAAATGAAACCATAAAAGTCTCCATCCTAATAAACCATCCTGAACTGCCTAACTATTACTTCAGAGTAATTATTTCAGTGCAGTAGTTGTTCTTCCTCTCTCGGTTAGTGCTGAGTACTTGAGAAGGGGCAGTTGTGCTGCTTGTGAGTCAAGAGGTAAAAATCAGAGCCTTCTGCTTCCTCTAATTCAGGCACTTTGCAGATGAGGACAGACACAGCCCAGATGCCTCTCACATGCCAAAATTAAAACTCCAAGCTGCTTCTACATGGACAAAACACTTCTGCTTTCTAGTCCCACTAAGAAAGCCTTCCCCTCAAATGTCATCCGCTCCAGCAAACAGGCAGCCTGTAACTTCCATGAGTTAAGGTCTGTGGCAGATTTAAGACTGAGAACGGACAACATACCATTGTGATAGGCACAAGACTAATGGGTTTCTCAATGTGTTCTTAGCCTCTACAACTAACACAACCCTGAAACAGTTACTTCTGTGCTAAAGCTCCTCTCCTCTTCCTACACTCCCCAGAGATTGCAACGTACAAACAGAAACACAGGAGCTTGCTGTTGCATTAACTCCAGCTGGCCCACTTGGATTGGCTTCTACTCCTGCAGGACCTCCAGGTCCGTTCTCCCAAAAGAAGATGCATCAGCATTCACAAAGCAGTTAGCAAATACTTGGACACCTGTGTTACAGCAATCCATTCATGGTACAGCTTCCCACTGTTCCAGCTTACAGGCAGACATCAGTCCAGAACATCCTATGCCTGCCACTCAGAGCAAGTTGTTCACACATGTTGTCATCCTCAGATGGATCAAACTATTGGAAGCAGTGCTGTATGGAGACAGCCAGCCAATTCTTTCACCTCTTCTGGACAAAGGTGCAGTATCACCTCCTAACTTCCACGCACACATTACTGAGAAGACTGGTCTGAGGCTACACGGCAACCATTAACTGGCAAAGCTAGCCAGCAGCAGTCATCAAGTGAACAATTTGTTCTTTGGATCACAGCTGCAACTTCACACTCACAGCCCTGCAGGAGAGGGACACGAGGACACATGTTCAAGCTAATTCTTCAGATTTCTAAAAGCTTCCTTCTTCTGCATTCGAAAGGCCTACACTGATTTGCTTTTATGGCCAGACACCTGCATGTTTGGCAATCCTATTATTTGTCAAGGTCTCTCCATTTCCTCTCCCCCATTTCAACTCTGTCACATCAGGGTTGACCAAACTTCCTGATGTTACAAGCTTCACATCAAGAGTCTTGTATGTCAGAGATACGTACCTCGGGATGCTGAGGGGAGGGGTCACAAGTTCTCAGGCAGGAGAGCAATACCTCCTCAAGGGGACAGAGTGATCCAAATACGTACATAGGTCTCAAGAGCCTTTCTGTGCTGGCTCACTTCCTCAGATGGCAAAACATGCAGTTCCCCCTGCAGTCCTTTACTCCAGCAAACTTCCATTACCAGCAACCTGGCCTACCTTCAGCACACAAGTCACACCTGAACTGCATGCAAATGGAAAGCTGTTCAAGAGCTATGGAATAAATATTTGCCTCCTCTTCCTGTTTTGTGCCCCTTGCACTGCTGAGAACAGTTAGGGATCTATCACTAAAACCTACAGCAGAAATTAGTTTGTGGCATATGGCACTTGTACATAATATGCCTGGGAAGTTGGAACCGCAAGTGAAGAGAATAAGCTTTCCTAATTTACTTCTGTGGCTTTCCTGATGCCCGAGAGCTGGAAGAATCCCTGCACCAGCAGAAAAGAGTTTGAGAGCTGCTGACCGATTCAGTGTATTCTAATAAAGCTCTATACAGAGACTGAGCTGGTCAGCTGCTTCCCTTCTAGTTTCAGCGCTGGTCACAAGCGGCAGCTGAGAGTACTTCTGTTGCTCCATGGCTTTTGGGGACTTTGAAGGTTGGGAGACTTTTAACCATTCAGAGGGCCAAGTCTGGAGTGTTACCCAGGGTTTAGAACTTGCATTAGCTGGGTAAGACATCTGTTCCTCAGGCCTTCCACAGATGCTGCTGTTTAGTCCTAGTTAAACAATACAGAACTCTCACTGCAGCTTCTTTGTGCAGAACCCCTCTCGGTGTTTATTTCCTATGATAACCTGCTGACAATTACAAGATATCTCAGTTTAGAAGAAAGTCTTTGCTCCACACTCTCAGGCTCATATTTCTGAGGCCAATGATCCTATGCCAGCACTATTTTGCTTTCTAGACTTGTTTGCAGAGTTGGCTTTAACTAGAGTTTTATTTTTTTGTTTTTTCCAAACGCTCAACAGTCTCAGCGAGGTTTTTTCAACAATCTCTTGTGGACACGCCATGCTTAATCTCACTCTTCCAGGCCTTTCTTATTGTCTGGGATGAAAGCACAACACAGATCCTCCCCTGCTAATTGTCAGCTTTATGTTTTCCAGTGACAGGTGTATTGTCTAGAGGAACAGACTCAATTGTCTCCCTGCGCAGTAGGGTATCAGCTGCTGATATCAGAGAGCCTTTCAGAGGAGCTTGGGCAAGGCTTGCTGTTTAGTGCCATCATTTATAACAAAACCAAGTAACCTAGAAACTTTAAACTGACGAAAATAAGACCCGTCTTTGTTACTCATTTTTGTTCAGTTTTTCCTCAAGCTAACTACTCCCAAATCTCCCATCCCCCAACCAGCAAGATAGGGCATTTGGTTCCGTTCCTCTTTAAAACACCAAATTTGTCCGATAACCTTTTTCCATCGTTTTCTAATAAAGGAATTTTGCTGGTTTAGCCAGTCACTCACTACAGATCTACTTGAACCTGTAATCACAGTTAGCAAAATACTTTAAAGCATTGCTCCTGTATGGTCCGTTCTGAAGCAGTGGGTGGGACTAGTCAACATACGCAGGCTCAGATTCACCTACATCACAGTGATATAGTTTATATCCTCCAGGGATCAGCACATCCTAAGTAACAGACCTGAAGTAGCAGAGCTGTCTCCCATGGGACAGTGACTCCGTGCACCCGCTTTATCAGGTAAAAAGGGTGCTCTGGCGCTCACACAGAATGAGAAAAGGCAGCAGCAAAAGAGCTCCTGAGAGATGGGAAGAATAAGAACAAAAACAATATTAGACTCAGATTACATCTGTCTTTCCCATTTTTCACATTAGAGGGTAAAGCTTTCCATACGCAGCTGTTGCGCATCACCAGAACTCTAGCTAGTATTACAACAACACACAGCCAGAAACACAACAAACCATTAAGCAGATGGCCCAAGCTTTTGCTGTGGGAAGCTGGTAATAGAGAAACCATCTCTCTACTGGATTTATTCACATCAGTCACAAGAGAAAAGGGACTTTCACCAAATGACTGGGCATAAGCAATTCTGCATCGATTTACAGGAATACAGATGTTGAGAAAGAAGTGTTTTGTGTATGGCTGAGGCTTGGGTTGTCTCTGCAATGCCGGAGCAGTGTCCTGATCAGACCAGCACGGGCAGCTCCAAGGAAGTCTTCCCTTACTTCTCCCCGCTCCCATACTCTCCATATTAATCCAATGTGCAACATTGACATGGACATCCAACAAACAGTGCTGGGAGACCCATGCCTGTGCGCAGGTAGTGCTCCCGAAGCCAAGGCTGGGACAGCACCTAGGGAAGCAGCAGCCCCTGGGGCTGCAGCGGCTCCTTGGAGACCTCCCTGCAGCAAGTGCCCTTGCCCAGCAAAGCAGGCCCACTCACACACAAAAGTCCTTTAAATGTCTTGCGGCTATTTATACAAAGCTAAAGTAAGCACTAAGAGTAATTATGGCTTCAACAGTTTAAAAAGGATGCAAGGCCTAGCTTCCACTAGGTATAGAGTGCGGCTTCTTCCCAGAGCGAGATAATTAATCCTGTAAGGCTGCTGTGGTCACTTCAGGATATGATCAGCTTCCTTCAGTTACCTGAGTTACTACCAGTTTTTCTTCTAAAAGGGTCAGTAGTTCCTATTGGGATTCCAGAGAAGACAAAAGTATTTTGGGTCCTACAAAGATGAAACACAGACCTAATTCCAAAGTGGTGTTGTGGGTTTATTATTCCTTCCCTTTCCGAGACAATGGGATATTTCCCTACTCAAGAGCCTTTCCTATCTTTATCAGAATCATAGTATTAAACTAGATTCCTGCCATAGGAAGGGAGAGCAGGAATTAAGGCTGAATCAGTATTTTCGGCTACATATTACAGGCCACAGGATTATAAAGTAGGCTCAGGTGTTATGATAGAAACTCCACACATCACATCACTTTGAAGCTCAGGTAGGAGACAGCCGTCTCTTCCAAAGCTGCTCTGGTTCTCCCAGGCCGATAAGGAATGAAGCAGTAGTACTTTGAAATGAAGTCTTCAGAGAGGGCTGAAGATCTTAAGGGAGCATAACTGCTCCCTTTTCACTTTTCAGATTAGGCCTGCCACATGCTCCTTCCATCTCTTTTGGGTGCAATCTGGGTGATCATTTAGATTTTCTAGCCCAGCATCACCTTTGCAGTACTTATCTGCTTCCCGCAAGACCAAAGAAATAACACAGCAATCTAGTTACAGATCCACATTTATACTGTGAAGTGAGAATCTGCACATAAGGCACTCATAAAATAAGACAGACTTCAGTCGAGCATCTTCCTCATTCTTAACTAAGAGGCTCCCTTCACTCTTCTCTGTTCGTTCCTGACTTATTTTAGCCCAAGTGCAAAATTTTGCAGCCACCTAACCCACTAGAGGGCACTAATATTCTCAGATAGAAACAAACAGAGCGTGTAAAGTTGTAGGCTGGGATTCCCTACAAACAGGCAAGAACAGCAGCACGTCCGATAGGTTGCTTTCCAATAGCCAGGCATCACTGACTACTGCAATGCAGTTTTGTTAACGTGGGATTTCAGCGCACCTGACTGCCCAGTCCTCCATCACCCTAGTTTAAGATTCGGTCCTGCATTGCTCAGAATTCCCACTGTATTTTTTTGCTCGTCTCACTCACGTTTAGTGGTTTTCCTCAGTGAAAATGGGAGACGTTTTTCCTACTGTAAGGCAGGTTAAACACTACAGCCTCTACCTGCTGCTCCAAATATGTTCTGCAAATTCAAACACTTAAAGGTTATCAACACTTACTGCTGGAAGTTTAGCATGTCTTATTACAACTGTATATCTGCAGTTATGTTCAGTCAACTCAAATGCATATTCACAGGCCAGATGGAAACGCCCCCGTTCACACCCTCTTTAATGAGGTGTTGCAGCATCTCAGAGAGCAGCTCAGAGACCTCTTCTTACCTGAAAATCTCTTCCTTCTCCTTCAGTTTGTGTAGTTTTGCCAGCCTCTTCTGCCAGAGCCTAAATAAGACTGAAAACTTATTCCAACACTCCCAACAGAAGGACTTGTGCAATTATCAACAGAACACCAGAAATCCAGGCACTTCTCCTAAACAGTAGTGACAAGTGATAGACAGTAGCATAATGACTTGAGTATCATAATGCTAGAAAATAGCATAAGATCAGCATTTGATGTTCTCAAGTTTCTAGCATTCTAAAGCACTTAGTTGAAAGCAAGCAAAGGCTCCCCCATACACTTCATTTGTCCTCCCCCCCAGGGGAAGATGATTTATTTCTTACTGCCATCTCTTTCTGCCAGCTCCTTTTGCCCATTCAGAAATTTGTTCTTCCTAAATCGTTGGAAACTTGCTTCACGTTTCAGCATATCATTTCCTTGACTACGTTGCCTCTCTGCTCTCAGCTTCATTCTCTTCTCTCAGTCTCCAAAGTAATGGATACATTCTCTTGGATTTAGGTCAACCTCTATTTCCTGTAATGAGATTAAACACCTGAAGCAAATCTCCTGCTTTCCACAGCTACTGTTGCAAAAGGGAGAAAATCCCCGAGAGATCACATTCTGTCCCCACCTGGGCAAGCATTTGATTAGCTTTGTTTTAGCCACAGAGTAACAAAGTTTTAGTCTGTCTAGTTCTGATCTTGTCAGAATTGTATTTAAATTCTTCTGACAGATTCTTGGCCTGTAGTTTGTTAGCAGATCGTTGTTGAGGCAAGATGTTTGAAATTAGAGTGGCTTTGAACAGGAGAGACACATGGTGCATTTATTCTCCAGTTCAGTGATTATCTCTCTGCCTGGCTCCAGTCCTAACACAAGTTCACCTTGGGACATTGCGGTAGTTGTTGGCTAGTTTGGGAACTAGCGAACGCATTTGTTGGCATATGCACAGGGGACAGCCATGACTAGGGTTCAAGCACAATTGCAATACGTGCTTTCAGCTTCTGGACAATTTGCATCGCTCTGGCCACCTCAGATAAAACACAGTGACACACGGGGGTCGGCTGACACAGGGCCTCAAGATACTCCCCCATGAGTTCTGCAGGCAGACATCAAACGTGTCAGCCATGCTGTCAGTCTGGACTTCACACACCTCAGGTACAAGGGTGGCCGCTCATAACAGAGGAAAACATTTCCTAGGTTTCTTTAATTGACTGTCATTTCACATGGAGGTGCCAGGGCTGATTTGTCACCTTTTGTTGTGAACGGTTGTCAGCACCGGTCCTGTGGCCCCAAGCTGCTGGGCACCACACTCCCATCAGCGCTATACCGGAATCCTTGTTGACTTTGTCCTCACTGACAATGCTGCAGGCTTGACTGGCACAGTGCAGAGCACTTGAGATTTTCTCAGTGTGCGTAGCTTTTGGGCTGACTGCGGCTATCAGGATTGTCTGGCTGTCCTTTGAAAACCTTAAACAAACAGGATTATGTGCCAAGTTATTCCATCAGAGAGAGCTGAGCAATGGCAGCCCTCCATCCATCATTCTATCCGCTGTTAAAGAAAAGACAGTCCTGTCTAGATAGGCTCAAAAGCCTCATCTGCTGAGACTCTACTTTTTGGAACTCCCTTATCCTAGACAGCAAAAATGATTTCCACTGATGATTTCCCCTTGTTGTTACCCTGAATAAACAGCATGTTCGTACTTAATGCTGCAACAGCAGCTGCAAGCTTCGTAGAGTATAATTGTACTGAAGATATTGTTAACCATTCCAAGTTATGCAATTTCTCTTTAAAATAAGGCTCAAGAATTTAAGATGTCATTTGGCACTCAGGCACAAAGAAAGCACTGAACACAAAAGGGGGAACCAGGCAGGGTGTAAAGGCAGACATCAAAATACTTGGGATTTTAAAAATTGTATACACCTATAAGCTGTAAAGACATAGAATCCAGCTCAACTGCACACCTGTTGAACACCAACTTGCCTGTATCCCCCTAAGTGAGTTTTAAAAACAGTATCTGGAGTGCTATTTAACTTCTCTGTCAGATGTCTTGTAGGATGATAAACTTGGATTACAACTTTGTTAAGGTTGGAAATAGACTTCAGGACTGCTTTGGAAAAATAAAGAGAAAAGTCCACACTCTTCAGGCTTCAGCACACTTCATCTAGGTTAAGATAAACTCTGAAAAATATGCAGCTCTCTATTTTCAAAGGGGATATTTCAGATAGTGCAAACATCACCTTCCTCATGCTAAACAGAAACTGCTGAACAGATCGTTTGCTGTCTGTCAACAGACCATGCAAGCACTTCTATATATATTGGCCCAGAACCTTAAAAATTAATTTAACTTGGCACTCTTTTCCCCAGTCTTCCTTCAACTAAATAATTTTAGACTTAACATGCTGTTCAGAACAGGACCATTGCATTATGTCTCTCCCAGTCTAGTACAGTGGGTACCCAGTCACAGTCGTTGTGCTTGGTTTAGCAGTTGTGGTAAGGTTTGCACTTACGGAAAACCCCAGCAAACATCCGTGTATGTGGTGGTGGAGGGTCTCAATCCAGAAGCAGAGTTTGCAATACAAAGGGTGTGAAAAACCCCTATATAAGGCCTTCAGAAAATATCCTATTCCTAAGACCATCAGTTGTTACCTACGTAAGTCAGACTGGAAATAAATAGGTATCCTCTGATAGGGTTGACAGGGAGAAACAGAAGCGTTGAGCTGAATCTCAGCCCACCATTAGTTGGCAGTAGATGGAGCTAGTGGTGCACAAATACGGCTTTGAACTAGCGAGGAGGCTTACCTGCACATCTGCAAAAGAGCCAGTCACATACCTGGGAGGATAGGAAAAGATACTATATTACTAGAAGGTAAAACAATAATTGTAGGACATCTGCTTAGTTGTCAAGGACCAAGAGGGAAATAAAGCTGTTGTCCCCTCTAGCTAAAACCTGCTGTTTCTTTTTCCCTAGACTCTCAACCACCAACTGCTCTACAGTTTGTATGCCAATCCAATTTTGACGCCTGTAATTCACCCCAGAGACTGTTTATTTTAACTTTATCAAGTGAAGAGAAAAACAACTGTGTTAGAATTAAAAAAAAAAAAAAAAGAGCATCTGGCAGCAGATATTCTTTCTCTCGGACAGCTTCCCAGCCTAACCACTGTATAAGGAAACGGCATTTTTAGCTACCCGAGGGTTGAAAGAAGGGGGAGAAAAGTATGCAGGTTCTCTGGGTGCTTATCTTATTTTCAAAGGATGGTCTTTTGTAGTCTGTTAGAAGTTGTGGTCCCAGTATATTGCACTCCACCTCGAACCAAGCTGCCAAGCATCATCTGGGACCTGCACTATGCAGAGGCAATGAATCCACAAGACACTCCGATTCAGCCTGTGCCAAAAAAGTGGTCTTTGGAATTCTACCAACTTCGCAACGCATCCCGGGGAGCCCCAGCCTGCACACATCAGAGCAACGAGGCTTTCTGGAAGTTAACAGAAACCAAAGGGCACTTAGGAAAACAGACATGTCCATCCCTTTGTTCCAGGTTTCAACATCAGGCTTCCTTCCCTCCTCTTCAGCAGGCAGAGCTGCTTTGAACCGTATTAGCATACTTCTCCATTAACTGTCAGCCAGGCGTCCTCAGCAAGAGCTTGTAAATCACAGGATCTCTGGTTCCCCTAACATAAACTGATTCTTTCCTATTTTATGAAGGGCAAAAATAAGACTTTCCTGTTAACCAGCAGGGGCTGGTGTCACACTTGGCTCTCCAGCTCCTTCACCCTGAACACTGCAGGTGCCACAAGACTGGGACAATCAAGAAAGAAGTTGGGTTTTGTTTTACTTCCCCATGGCTGTTTTTGTTCTCTCTCATTGTCAAGTGCTTGTGAGCACGGAAGGAAAAAGCAGAGCTTGCCTAACAGCTTTGCCCACCCACTCCATTTTTGGTTGCCTACTTTCACCTGGATAGCACACTGATGGAGAACGTTCATTTCTAAATAATTAGGAGAGACACTGGAGGCATACAGATTTGGTTTGGACACAGGGGACCCTATTTTCAGTTTTAGACCATATGCTAATTGGATACCCTTCAGAGCGAGTCCGCAAGATGTTTGATTCACTTCTGCTGTAAGAGCCATTGTTCCTTCTGGAACAAAAGCCAGATCTGCCTGCTTCAGCAGTGATACGTACTCTTAACGACGTTGTCTTCTGAGGATTAAGCATCTCAAGAAGGAAGACATTTCACTGGGTAAAATGCCTGGAGAAAGTTTCCTTTGCGCAAGAGGTTAATGCACTGCTTATGGTCTTGTTTTGTTCCCACAAGACAGAGAGGGCATCGTATAATTAACGTTCAATGTTTGAAACAAGTAATTCTTGCACTTAAAGTACTTAATTCTTTTTAATCAACTAGATTTGTAAATTCAGGCACCTAAGCATCCAGAAAACAGATTAAGTACGTGGTAGACTTCTGAAAAATGCCACTTCATGTCTGCATCGTTTTAATATCCGTTCATGAGTAGTCGCCACAAGCTCTTTTGTCTAAGGATACATTGGGCCATTCTTTTTAAAAGGTCAGTAAGCTGGAGGAAAAGGAAAGCTCAAATGGAGGTCTACTGTAGGTCATCCAGAAAAATACTGAGCTAATTTCACTGATTTTCTTGACATACAGCAGGATTTCCCTAATTTTGAAAAGGGGCATTTATTTTTTTCTTATCTCACCATTTAACCGTTGCGTTAAGAGCATAGAAATTTTAGGTAGGTTCACGTTTTCTGCATAACAACTCTCACGCAATTAAAGGTTCCTTGTAAGATCTACACACAAAAGTTTGCAATTTTTTCCCTTTTGATCCTTCCTTTCCTTTTGTTCGAAGCTCTTAAAGCTTTTTACAAAACCCACTAGACACGTCCTATAACCTAGTAAACGCCACATTACTTCCATTGTAAATACGTTGGAACCAAGGCAAAGGAAGAAATAACAAGACAGCTTTAGTTTACGCAAGAAAGCAGAGTCAGAGCCCGGACAAGCATCTCGACCGTCCATGTCCTCTCCTGCTCTGACCACAGACCGGTGGCACTTGTTGGAGTGCAGCGTGCCAAGGAAGAGTTCGATGACTCGATGGAAGAACTGGCTGAGGCAGTTTGGCCTTACAGAATAGACCACCTTTAACGGTTTACTATAAATTATATATAAACTGAAGTGAATCTGCGGAAGTTTTGCTGGAGCTTGCTGCAGGCTGCAAAAGCAGCAGCATTCGCATCCCTCCCAGGGTTCAAATTCACCCCTAGCTTCCCAACGGGAACAGACCTTCTCCTCGTCCTTCCTGCCTCGGGCTCTCTGCCACTTTTAAGAGCTTTCTAGGGGCTGCAGCGACTTGTTCTCGCCTCCCGTTCGGGGGCACCCGGAGGAGGGCCAGGACTAACAACTCAGCCTCCGGCCTCGCGTCCTGCTCGCCTGCCCGGGCTGCTGCCTGGGACAAACCCTCCTCTCCCCTCACCATTAGAAGGGCCCTATTTTAAGTTGCAGATCACCAGGACATAAACACAGCGCGGTGCCACAACGCGCTGACAGGCCTGGTCTAT